CAGGAATAGATTCATAGATTCTTGCAGTGTTTGCACTGGTGGGTACAATAGCAAGCCAATGTTCTCAATCTCACATTTTAAGTAGCAGGAAATTGACCCATGAGGTAAATGGCCTATCCAAGTTAATACAGATATTTATGGGTTCCTCTGGCAACTGTTGAGTGCTGTGGAATAGGTGGAATGCTAAAAACAAGTTATTTACATTGTACCAAATAGCCAGTATATTCAGTAGTAACAACTACAACAACAAAAAAATCAACATCATCATGGTAAGTTTGCCTCTACGTAGACCAAACGGTCACTTGTTTTGGTAGAGCTCTGAATCAAGCTGAATAGGAAAATGTTCCAAACACTCATGATTTTCTATCATAGTAAACAAGTCAGAGAGTGCCCCAGCAGTGAGAACTGGACTGTCTCATCACTCTTATCTAATTATAGGAGTGACTGCAATCAAACAATTAAGGATGCATAGATTACTTCTTGAATAAATTTTTATTTCTTGGCCTTAGTAAAAGAAACAAGGTTTTTAACAAATTCTATTTCCAAGATTACTAGATATACTTTTGTTTTGCTTTTTGGAAGGATACTCTCATAGTGGAGCAATTAATTATTTTTTAGAGACATCTCTTCATTTGTTATAGAATTCAGGGCCTGGTATTCTGAGATTTAGGCAGTTGTGTTCAGGAAAAGTATGCCAATCATAGCATAATTAGTTAGCTGCAAAAAAAAAAAAAAAAAAAGAGATCTTACAAACTGTTTTAGGAATCTGTCATTCCTATGGTGCAAGTAATCCCAGACATGATGAGGCGGACTTGGTAAATCAGAAGCCCTTCTCTCTCCACTCTGTGTTTATTCCATTTTTACAACAGCTTTTGGTTTAATTTAATACATTATTGTAGAAGAAAGGGTCCATTAAACAGCTACAGAAAAGTGAGAATTACGTTCCTTTTAGTTTTTTTTTTAATTAAGCATTCAACAGTAGAATCCTTTAAAAATGATATTCAAATGATTTTTAATTACTACAAAGGCATTGAGATGTTAATACACTTTATATAAAAGAGAGGGATACTATTTCATTCGTCCTTTCCTGCCACAAATTCCAACTCTAAGAAAATTATTTCTTTTGATCCACTCTGATAGCATGTAATAAGAGAACAATAAAACATATGGCTCAATTACCACCGCTTCTCATCAAGCATGAATTAATGAATATCAAATTATTATTAATTGTTTTTTCTGGCTCCCTCTCCATAGGACAATGATTACACATTTCTGTATTTTAATAAGCATTAGTGTTTAACACTTTATGGACGAGTGTCTAAGAGGAACAGATGCTTGAAATCATTATACAGAAGAATAACTCTTTACATTTATCAACATTTAGAAAATACATGATTATCTTTTAATCTCCCTAGTTTGTCAGTTTTTTACAACTGCCTTAAACTCCCTTAGAATTCCACCCTCTCTCAACGTTCCCTATGCTTTCCTTTGAGAAGCAATTGCTATGTGCATATAAAGTAGTTTATAAGTACAATGTCTTAATTTTAATAATAATAATAGTTCCTCACAAGATTATGGAATTTTCAATTCCTTAAGAAAAAGCTCTTTAAAAATCAAAGTTATAGATTGAGCAGTTAAAAAATTAATTTAGGCAGCATGGCACAGAATATAATAAATTATGATCATATAATTGACATATCAATGTCAGTGAGTAATAGTTATAGACACTGTACAAGAAGATTCTGTATAACTGACAGTTCATTTATTTTTATAAGCCATCTGTAAATATAAAGTGCTATGTAATAGGAATAGATATAGCATGCGAAAGAACATGTCTTTGTAGTCCATAACTTTCATTATTTCTCATAGATCATTTATGAATCCAGATTTTGAAATGCATGCAAAGAAAACCTGACAAATTACATAAACACTATGTCATATGATTTTACCCATTACCCATAAATGCAGGTCTTTCTGTTTTTAAAACACATTCTATAAAACTTGTATCGGGGATAAACTGAAGGATGATACCAAGTTTAAATTGTTTAGATATCCTATCTAGTTCAATATGCCTAACAAACACAGATTCAGGTATGTTTCTAAAGAGCAAACAAAAACTTGCTTTAGAATCTGATAATTTTGGAGCAGAAAGCAACCTTAGAAATCATTTTGTCCATTGCCCCTCATGTTACAGATAATAGCACAGAAATCTGAAAAGTTTAAGTGATTTTCTGAGGTCCATACAACTTTATACGTTAACATCTTTCTGCCGAACTTTATCTTTCTGCCAAAATTTCTATCAACGTTACTTTTGTACATAAAGGAAACATAGCTTGCTCCCATGACAGTTTTACCAAGACTTCAATAATGTCTGCAAATCCAAATTCTTAGGGAAACAAAGGTGAGAAAATGGTAAATTTGTCTATAATGGAAACCGTGACACACAGCCTAATACTGAGCAGAGATGTACCTGGTCAAGGCTGACAATGCCCACTGCCATCAGAAGCATGCTTCCTTTGACGCTGGGTACTAGAACCACTTGAATTTTTGATCTCTAAATCTAACCAGTTACCAGATGGTTCCCTTTATGTATGTGACCTTAGTGGAGGCAATTAGATTATTTATGCAATAGCAGAGTTGTTAATTCTATACCAGAGTCAATCTTTGGTGTAAAAGCTTTTCTAGATTATATGTTCTTACAATAAAAATTTTAATTCCTTAGTGAATGCTTTCATCTTGATTTTCATGTGCCAGAATTACTGAATCCACTTTGCTGAAAAATTTAAAGAAAATAAGTTAGATATACAAATTCAGTACAAAAATAAGCCTATAACTAAAGTTTTAAAAATAAATAATTACTCATCAAGGGGGTAGTGGTGGGTTAAGCATTTTACTTTCACCTCCTACTGCATTCATCCCTGTGGCATGGCTTTTTGTCATACTGTAAATACAAAGTACCAATGCCCTGTACTCATATTTATGACATGCCTGAGAGTCATGTCTTGACAACTTAAATATACTATAAAAATGCACACTGGAAAGAAAACACAAAGACTTCTGAGGGTTTTGGTAACCACATCTCCTAAACCGTATCATGGACTCCCGGGACTGAAAGTTTTAGAGCTGCACCATGCACATCAAGGCCCCTTGATGTAACAATGGATCCTGATAAGGCTGCTCGATTAGGAAAAAAAAAAAAAGACATATGAGAACTGGCTGGGGAAAGCAGAAAATAGAAGGCAAAGTATGAATATAATTAGCTTTGTTCTTGTCATTGATTCTGCAGCCTGATGGAACATGGCTTTTTGAATATTTTTCAGAGTATTTTCCAGATGTAGCCTCTCAGCACCTCATTAATACCACACATTTGTCATTAAATTCCATATTTTGGATCCTGTGTAAAAATCGCAAATGCTCCTTTTTCATTCACCACCAGCAGGCAACTTGCCTTTCACACAGTGCTGTTGACCAGCTCCCCAATATCATCATGGTTATTCTACCTACTTACTATTGAAGCAAAAATTAAATGTTGATACTAGCTTTACAATGAAGTTTCATAGGATTTTATATTGCTAGCTTACTGTGCACTGCACACATCTTTTAAATCAACTTTTACAGCTTTCATGCTAAGCTTATTGAAAATATGAGTTAAAAATGCAGACCCTTAATGTTTCTTCTCACAACATTTATGCTAATTAGGTGTCCAAATTATAGTAAAGTTGGTCTTAAAGGTAAAAAAAAATACTCAAATGTTATATGCAATATAGAATTGTACACCATTAACTCTAAATTTTCCGTTTAAAAATAACATTAATATAGAATTGTACACCATTAACTCTAAATTTTCTGTTTAAAAATAACATTAAAAGGCATTTAGTATAATAGCCAAATTACGTTTAAAAAAAGTATATTCCAGTGCAAATGTAAAGGTCATTCACAGAAATGCACTTCAACTCCACTGATCAGTAAAGCAAAGAAAATCTGTTTTTGTTTGGAAAAAATGGAAAATTTCCTAAAATAAATGACTTTTGCTTAGTTGTATCTATGTCTGGTCTGACATCAGAAGAAAATATAAATGTTGACTGATTTTTATACCATAAAGTGAAATGCCACCATGGTATCTGCAGCTGAATTTTTAATATAATTAAGAAGATACTTTTTAGTTTTGAGATCTTTCATCAATATTAAAAGTTCATTAATGTTAGTGATGGCTCCTTACAGAGCTTAACACTTACCTACAACTTGAGAGTAGCAAGATTCACAATGTATTGTCTGTTTATAAATCCAAATACTGTCACCGGCTTGTAGGTTTTCCAAAGGTTGTTTGCATATTTCACACTAAACAGAATGTATAAAGTTTACATTATATATGAAGTTTAGATTCTTGGCGTAACAGGATTAAAAAAAAAAACAAAAAACTTTTGGGAGCTTCCCTGGTGGCACAGTGGTTGAGAGTCTGCCTGCCGATACAGGGGACACAGGTTTGTGCCCCGGTCCAGGAGGATCCCACATGCCGCAGAGCTGCTGGGCCCGTGAGCCATGGCCGCTGAGCCTGCGCGTCCGGAGCCTGGGCTCCGCAACGGGAGAGGCCACAACAGTGAGAGGCCCACGTACCGCAAAAAAAACAACAACAAAAAACAACTTTTACTTTATTCAGTACCATCCTTCATAGCAACACTCAGATGAAGCCTCAAGAGAACCCAGAGGGAAAATAAGAGTATACTTACCTGTCTGTGATCCACACACCGAACTTTTCAAATAAATCCTCTCATAAATCTCTCTACTATGGAGGTGTGCATTTCAGGGCATATATACCACTGAAGTTTCTACGTAACTCACAACAGAGTAGATATACATTTTCAGAAATTGGTTATGCCAAAGACAAGATCACCACTGGATATCGCAAACAAAAAAAAAAAAGTGCATTTATTGTTTGCTTACTAAGGGAGAGCTATGCTGTCCAGGTATAGCGTCATTGAGCAAAACGAACTTCTGATCCTATGCAGGGTTTAGGGGGAAGTTTGTTTCAAGTTGTGTTGGTTAAAGAGGAAGGAAAGGGTTGACATCTGCCTTAGACCTGTGCTCACTGGAGCAAGTTCACTGCCAACTGGCTGACTTTCAAGTTCACTGACGCAAATTGTCATAGATCAGTTTGACATGTTTAAGCCAGTTCAGATGGTTCCCTATTATTATGGCTATAGAATAGTCTGTCTTTTCCTAGGAGTGTGGGGACATTTTTATTCTCAGTAGTATTTTATAATTAAATTGAAAATGGAAATAAATCATCCAAAATATAATAAATGGAAATTATTCCTATTTACCAAAAGCAGTAATCAGGAGAATTTTCTTCTTTTAAAAAACTTTCTGCATAATAATTTTAAATGAGGAGTTATAGACTAACTTTTGTTTCGTTGAGTAAACTTAATAATTAAAAGGAAGTTTTACTGTCATAATTAAATAATTATGAAATTTTCAGATTACATTTTATATAGAATTCTATATATGATGGCCTTTTGGATTTTATTTGCTCAAAATGAGGCATCATATTTCTTCTTGCTTTGTGTCACATTCTGAAGCTAATTTAAGGAGAAGCAATCAATTGTCAAAGTATTACAACTACTTGACTGAATTAGATAATGTGTATCAGTCATAGAATATCAGCACTAGAAGGGACCCATAGATTTAGGCTGTGGTTCTTAAACTGGCTGCCTGTTAGATCTATCTAAGGAGATTATAAAAATACCAATGCCCAGCAATCATCTCTAAGATCCTTGATTTAATTGGGGCTGGTCCCAAGCATTCTATTTTTCTCCTAATCTCCCCAGACAATTATAATATGCATCCAGGGTTGGATACCACTGGTCTAATCAGCTACTTCATTTTACAGATGAGGAAACTGAGGCTAAGCTAATTTAGATGATGTCCAAAGTCACATGGCCTCAATTAGTGTCAGTTAGAACTCCAGCTCAAGTCTTCAGGTTCCTAGTTAAGTGCTCACCCAGTTACACCAAAATCTATATTGTTGACCTATGGAATGTTTTTGTGAAAAGTAAAAGAAATAGCATATGAAAACACAAACTGTGACGCATTCTACTATGTACGCTTTATTATTATACTAAGCCACATTTAATTAGAATTAATCAGGCTCTCAATAGCAGACTGAGTTTCAACTATTGTTAAGCTCATTGGTCCTAATTTCATAACGCAAGGAGCTGCTAGCTTTCTTCTCAACAATTTCTTTGCCTTTTCAGATTTCATTATATATTTTATGTAATGCATGATTTATGAAAATGCTGCAAAAACTTTTCTAAAGAGAACAAGTGTTTATCTTTTTACAGATTTCAATCTGTAGTGTAAGAGTTATAAATGTGTCAATAATTAACTTTTAAGCCTAAAGCCAAGAGAGTAATTAAAAACCTTGGAGGTTTAGGCTGTAGAACTCTGAGAAATGTTTAAATAGTGCATTATTAATGTGCATGACAGTGTTTCTGAAAGCTTTAACTTCATCTCATATATTTCATTAAATAATTATTTTTATTCCAATCATTATGCAATTTTATATTGAGTTAAATGCAATAAACATAGCCTTACCTTGAAGCAAGTGGAATGGCAGCAAATTTGTAATTCATTTAAAATCATCTTAGCTTCTGTGCCCAAGGGTTTTCGACAGTAAGTGCACATATCCATTTCAATGACAGACCTATAGAGATGTAAGCAATTAAAAATAAATTTGTCATCATGCAAAAGACAGATGTATTCCCCATAAAGTCATATGGAAATGATATGTTAATTTTGTTGATACTGTAGTAAATTGTGTAAAAATCAAGGAAAGCTGAGGATTTACTTATCCTAGGATAGCAGGATAAGTGATTGATTCTTCTAGTTATTTCAAAATGATATCAAAGAATTAACATGAAGGAAAGTCTCAGATTATTAATTCATTAGCAATCAAAAGTGCATCTGGGCAGGACAAAGATGTTCACAGTTTTCTAACTGAACTAGGTTATAAGTATCCCTTGAAGATAGAAGAGGGTTTTGAATTATTAATGTACTTATATCATAGAAAATTTATGCCACAGGTTAATATAAAAATTTAACTCTCAAAACATTCAATAGGACAAAAATAGAAATCTATTCAAGAATGTGTTGGTAAATTCACAAATGATGGATAATCTAGATTCTAGGGTCTAGAGTCACTAAAACGCTTCTCTATGCCACTTCTCTTGGTGTCATTGTAAGACTCAGAATATTGGGGGCCCTTTCATGACAAAAATTCTCCAATATGATATAATCTCACCACAAATTTGATGGGGAAAATAGAGCTTTGCTATTTACTTTGGAACAATAATGTTCAATAATAAATAAATGATCAGCAAGTCCAAAAGACCTTGGGTCATGCCAGAGTCTTAAGAAAGGCCAATAACTACTTGATTCTTTTCCTTTTGAAAAGTCTTAGGACAGTCTTAAATAGCACCTTGCAGAGTTTACTAGTCTCAGGGTGTTAGCAAACAAGGCTGAAATTTCCAAAGTAGGATACATACTGGGGTGGTGAAATAAAAATAGCTAATACTTAATAGTGCTAATATGTTTAATATGTGCAGTGCATTTTCCACGCACTTTGCTAATATCAACTCGTTTATTCTTCATAACATCTCTGAGAAGCAGGTACTCTTATTTTTATCACTATTTTACAGAAGAGAAAGCTGAGGCACAGAAGGGTAAGTCATGCAGCCAGTGAGTGGCAGAGGTGGGATTTGAATGAAGGCAGAGCGGCCACAGAGCCCTATGCGACCTCTGGGCCTGCTTGTGAGACTGACTGGGCTCGCTGGGTTAGAAAGAATTAGTCATGCCCAGAAACCACAATTGATCCTGTCATCAAGTGCAGGACTAGAAGCAGAGAGGAGGGAAAGTTGAGGGGAGGAGGGGGTAAGCGAGGAAAGGGATTGGAGTAGATAAACCTTGTTTCATTTATACTCTCAGTCATTCTAGTAATCTCTTCTTCCCTTATGTATATAAATAAATATTTCCCTCTTTCAATGATCTCTCTAGGTACTTGTTTACATATTCCGGGCAAATAGTTTCCTATGCATTTTTCACATATATGCATACGTAGGTACCCACACACTTAAATTTCCCATGTTAGACTGTAAGCACTTCCAGAGTAAAAACTGCCACTCTCTAGCATTCTTCCATTCCAGAGACACTGAGACAGGAGCTGGGAATATAAAGAAGAGTGAGAGAGTCTCCTCCAATGAGAAGCCTTCTTTCCACTAGGGTAGCCAGGTGTGTGATTGGATGGTCACCACATATTTATGGATGTGTGAAAAGAGTTAGGAGAACACAGCCAGTGGAGCAGCTTATCCCTGGGGTGAAGCAGGAAAGACTTGTCAGCATAAGTGCCATCTGAGTTAAAGCTTGAGGGTGAAGGAGCTCTCAAGGGGAGCTCAGTGAGGTGGGGAGGGGCGTGATGGAGGGGTTCCAAGCAGAGTGAACAGGATGTACCAAGGTGCCACACAATGAGGGTGGCTGGAGTGATTGAGCATCAGTCAATATT